ATCCAACTAACTGATACAGAAATCCAAGTAATTGAGCTTTTATAAACTTTGTGTTATTAGTAACTTTTCAGTTCCGATTTTTTAAAAAACAAAAAAGAAGAAACTGATAAAAGAAATCACTCCTTGACACAAGACAAATTTCGATTTTAAATTTCACAACATTTATAGACCAAATTTATAATTGCATGACTAACCTTTCCTATACCTTGCCATCATTCCGGTTGATTTCCTCTGCAGCAATAGAAGTCGCTATCGTCCCATCTTAACAAATAATTAACTGCAAACAAATAAACTATCGCAATCGTTTTGCTTCAAACCTCTGCTTGCTCGTCCGGCAATTATCCTAATCGCTATGCATATTATTACGTATTTCGTTCGAAATCGAAAGTCAGTTTTATGTTGTCAAATGGCAATTGATTGTACAGCACATCTGAAAGTTTTAAAAATGGGAAAGTGTCTAATAATTCGGAATTCATAAAATTATGGTGATGATGTAATGAAAATCTTTCATGGAGATGACAAATAGTTGAACAATGTACTTGTGGGTATATTGATTAAATTTCGAGAAGTTGGCCAAAAAAACAAAAGGGAACAACATAAATTATAGCAACAGTATGCTTATTCTAATGAAAACATCATCAGAAAAATGATATTCAAAAATAATATAAAGATCATGACGACACATGACATAAGAAGAATGGAGAAAGTGACTAGCCGAGCTCGGTTATATGAAGCTTGTTGTGGGGTGTGGTTAGTCCATCCTTAAGGCTGTGTCGCATACTATGCAGCAAGTTGCAATGAGGCAGGCCTTAAAAGTTGAATGTATTATAGATGATGACGTCATCTCATCTGATATACTCCATTAATATCTCTCATTCCATGACTATTTTCCTATTCTGCAATATGAAGCATAGAGAAGTGTCATCGACTGGCTAATATCAGTAGTACTAAGCTGATATTTATGATTATCCAGTCTACTAAGGGATATATATTTGTTGCCTCCTTTTCGAACAGTTTGATGAACAGAGGTATAAAAAAATCGTATTGAAAAACCATAGATCTGTATTACCTACATTTCCAATTATGTTGAATGATACAAGTCACTGACAATAAGAGCAAATTTAGTAGTCATACCAACATTAATGGCCTCATCAAACCTATCATCCTTAATAATAATATTATAATTTAATGATGGTTAATTACTAATAACAATAATGGTAATGAAATATATTAGTATCATAACATATTAATGTAATAATAGTAATGTTGATAATATTAATGTATCATTATACATTAATATTATTAGCATTACTATTATTATTTACTTCGGTCAGTCTGAAGCACTTAACAATACAATTTTTCAGGCACTTATGATAGCGACATTTTTAGATAAGATAAACCGTTCTAATATGCCTGTAATGAATCTCAATTCCTTGAAAGGCCATGTGAAGTATGACAGTTTTGATGGGATGGAAGCATTGAGACAGGTGTTTTCATTGGCCGATTTGGTTGAGGGAACGGCTAAGATGTTTTGAATTGCAAGGGCATTTATTGCGATTAGGCGATCCGAAGCGAAGGATTTCCGGACATTATTTATTTTGCTAGTTAGGAGGTAGTAACATGACTGGTTAGACGGATAACGTGTCTTTAGGGACTGTCTGTAGTTGGCTGTATTGGGCTCGTATCAGGAAGAAATGCACTCCATAGAGAATCCCGAAAATTATCCTATTCCAGGTATGCTGCTGTCCACTCTTTCTGGTTGACCTATGGAAACGAATGAAATATGAACGGGGAAGAAATTAAGACGGCGAAGTCATCGACTAATCTACCAGACAACGAGTATCCGAAAAATTTGGAGTCGTATCGCCAGAAATGGGTGGTACTTTTTTTACATTTTATTAAGGGGGTGCTTACAGTGAATAATTCAGTTTGTTATATAAAGCGACGAAAGTCAAATATTCAGAAGTTGAGGATTTCAGATTCTGATATATTGAGTTATAATTTATTAGTACTTGAAAAAAAGTTTGTTGCAGAGAAACCTCGGTATCCAAAATAAGCCAAGTGTTCCATGCCAGAAGAATGAGCAAATCCATACATCCTGTTTGAAAGTTCTTGACCGATGTCCATCTGCATTGGGAAACAGTGATCTGGAAGCTGTGCTAACACTGTTTTGTGAGCGTGAAGAATGTGACTTCGATGAAAGCTATGCGAGCATTTTAGAAATGTTGGTTCCATTACGATGCAGTCTGGATGAACTCTACAATATATTTTATGCTATAACTACGAAATTTGTACCAAGGTTATTCATCATCTTATTCGTCTTGGATATGCTTACTGATTTTTATAACTGTTAATGTAACTGCGAAGAAGCTTCTTGGCTGGCATTCTAATTCAACGTTAACTTAAAATTTTGAAATGGCATGTTCTAATCATCTTTCTCATCTTTTTTTTTAAGAGACATATCAAAAGGTGCCGTGTGCTATCAGCTTATGCACTTGATTGTGCAGTATCACGATCCGTTGCTCAGTTCACATCTGGAGTCACATAAAGTTACTTCCTTTGAATATGGGCGTCCATTTTTTGCTGCACTGTTCGCCCCTGAAGTTTGCAGGCAATCATTGTATGTGATATGGGACAAATTATTCGAGAGAGTAAGCTTTTAAACAAATGTTTTGTACAAGCTTATAGGCTTGTACGTTTTTTACTGCCAGTAGGTTTTCAGTATTTTTAAACTAATAAAAAGCAAGTTGGAAGTGAACTTAAATTCGACTCGTTATAGTTCTACAAGTGATTTCAGCAGAGTTTAACAAATAATTGTTGAGGGTGACCCGTATTTGTTGTTTACAATGGTTTTGGTCTTCTTAATCAACTGCTCCGATCAGCTTATGGCATTGAACACCAAAAGGTCTTTTCTTTTTACATAATATGATTCTGAATTCTGTATTGTGCAGTTCTCATAGTCAAATTTTTATCCTTGCAGTGAATTGATTGATACGATTCGATTTGCTGTGAAGGAACTTTCCGTGGATGATGTGGATGATTTTTTTGAATTATCAGTTTTGTTTCTAAGTCAGACACCATCATCTATCAAACAAGTGATTTCATTTGATATTTAAATTAGAAAATTCCTTGTTCTTATTGGAAGTACAGATTTTTGTTTCTGATTCCTAAAGAATTATGATTAGTTTCTGGAAGGTTTTGTTTTATATCCCTCTCATTTTTTTCTCAAAATCAGTTTTAATCCAGGATTTTCAACGCGTTTTGTTTGGCTCTCGACATGCAGAAGAAATGCAAGCTAATATTGAAAAGTTACTTGCATTGCCAATTGATCCTCGCGATGTTATCCGAATGGGTTTGGATGAAAACCTTAATGCAGCTGTAAGGAATTTGCGTACTTGTTTGGAATTATTTTTCTAACTGTATATCAAAATTTATTCTCTGATCACGGAGATTAAGCCTTGCAATATAATATATTTCAGTGCAATGATTATGTTGGTCATTTAAATCTAGAAGGAGTTGTCAGTTTCTTTTCTATCCCACAATGTTCTACGCCCTTTTAACAACATTAGTTGTTTTACCAGTATAATTTTCCACAGGAATCAGAACCGAATTTCTTCATTATTGATGCTCGATCTCATGATCAGTATTCAGCTGGCCATTTAGATGGTTCATACAATCTGGATTCTACACTGGTGCGCTTCATTTTTTTTTCTTAAGGCGTAATTTCTCTTTCATTTTGTCTGGACATGGTAATTGTTTCCTATGGAACTAATATGAGGTATCATATATTCAGCTTATAGTTGTTTCTTAAGTGAATAACTGACAAATATTCATTAGCTTATCACGCAATTTTTAAGCAGTTATAATTTTAGCTAATTCTTCACCCCAAGTTTAATAGGTTATTTAGAGCGACATTCTTCTGCTCTATAAAATCCTTTCTCGCTTAGCTATAAGTGTATTAATGTGCAGATTTTTTTTCAGTTTGTTGAAGCTCCACTTCAGTACAAATTAGCTTTATCTAGTCTGGATGCTTATCGATGTGCTTTTCATCCCAATGAACACATCCTTTTCCTTGGTTCTGGACGTGAAGATGATCTTTATTTGCATATGGTAATTGCAAATTTTTTACAACAAGGACGAAAACATATTGCTTTGGTAGACGGAGGCTATAAAGGTGCTTTTTCACTTTATCAAAAGTCCATCTTCTACGTTTACTTGAAATTTCCTCAAAAGGATTATTTAGCTCTTCATCAACAGCTTGCACCAAATTTTGAATGTTTGGATGGACATTATGCAGCCGTTTGCAAGGAGTGTAAAGGACAACCGTTATATGCAGTCGAAAAAGATGCCCAGAGAAAATCGTCTGTAAGCGTTTTCGCAAAATTGATTTTTATTAGAAAGCTCATACTATGTCCTTACTCTGATAAATAAAATCTTAGTTTTAAGTACTCTAGCGAAGGCGGTGTCATTGATTATGTATTGATGATATGTGATTTTGCTAGCAGTTCTGTAAGTCAGTTACTTGATTTAGAACGATATAAGGACTTTCTTAGGAAAACTAAGGTTATCTAAGCATTTTTCAGTGGAAGCTTGATATTGGTAGTATTTTGGGCGCAGTCAAAGCAACGGCACCTTCAATTAGAGAAAAAGTGCGGAAATTGCCTATAATTGTGACACGTGGTCCAAATACTGTTGAATTTAGTCATGTTGAGACAAGTCAGCGACATGGTAAACGATATCGTAATGAACAATCGCTTTTTACTCTTAGTGATTCTGATTCTGAAACAGAAACTGTCGCTGTTGCATCCAGTCCAAGATCCTCTGAACCAAAAGTTAGCTTTTTAATATGTAAATGCGTTATAATAATAATCGAGGTATCTGAGCCATATGGATCATCAGATAGGACTTCCATATTAATTAGAATAGTAATAAAGTCAGAAACCCTCTTCAAGTATAAAATTTGGCGATTCAGAAGTTGGACGATGTTCTGAAACAAGATGGTGTGCTGGAATATTTTGAAGGATTGGAAGTATTTACAGAAGATGCAAGTCACCGTACTGTGGAATGCTATCTAGTTTTAACAGCGACACATATTCTCATTTTTCATCAAGAAAAGGTTTGGTCACTCACTCATTCATCAATTTTATACATTGGCTTTAGTTTTAAATACCATCAAATTCTCTCGATGTGAGACTGATTTCTTTCTGCAACAATTATTTTTTTGTATTGTAGATTGGGGAGGTCGTTTTACGAGCACGTCATGCATATGGATCAGTACTGCGTGTTTCAAGCAGGAAAAAAATCCCTGAGCTATTAACGTTCAAGTTCGGTTATTGTACCGATGAGGATGATTACAAGGCAATTTGCATTTATTTTACCCTAGTGTATATTTCTCCTAAAATCTAACAGTGCCCGCATTTATCACTTTCGTCACTTCTAAGTATAATGTAAAGAATCTAGAAAAATAAATGCGAGAAAGTGATTATCTTCTGCAATTTTATGTAAAATTAAAGAGCTAAAAAAAATTCTCATTGGTTACAAAACTGTGCTATTATCTTATCTGAGTGTATTTTTGAACTCTTTTTTACTGTTTTCGGATTTATTTGAGCTCCAATTAGTTCAGAGCAAGTATGAAAACCTTCTTGCTGTAGGTTACCGCAGTTCGTCGTTTCATAATACCCAGAGCTGGTGACTGCGCAAAATCAATCAAAACGAATATAGTCAAACTTCGACCAAGTATTCTTGGCTAACGTTACTTATTTCAGTCGCCGTTAGCGTATTTGTTCTCATGATACTTCATTTTTCATTTATTTCTATTCATCACTTCATTTGTTTTTAAACAAGGTTTCTTAGTGTTCTAAGAGGTGCGATGATTAGAATGATCAGGGATTTTTTTGTTCCTTTTTTCTGGCGTATCATAACGCAAAGGGCTGTAAAAAAAATGAGTGTAATCACCCTTCAAAACTGATACTCTATATAGAATTGTGTAACAAGTCATCCATTCTCACCACTCTCATTTTCGGATTTCCAAGCTAAATTTTTTTCACAAAAATTTAGCTTGGAAATCGATGATAGGAAAGCGGTGGAATATTATTTTAATGTTCGCTGGTCTTTATTTTATATCTGGATTGTGAGCTGTTGTGTGCCTTTTTTTTGAATTTTATATTATATGCCATTTCTGTGATGCTTTTTTTTTTATCTAAGGCACCTAAATAACTGTTATTCGATTCTGTCCCATCAGTGCTTTATGTTCGTTGTTCTAGACTCTTTTTTCTCTGTTTTCCAAAGATTTTTTAATCTCATTGCATACAAGTATGTTGCTTTTACTGCTAGCAGATTGGATGAAACCTTCATCAGAATCCTCGTGAAAGTCCTTTTGCGGAAGTGGTAGCAATAGATCCACGATCATAGCGGCTAAGAAGTAAGTGTTCGTAGTTTCCCAACTAATTTTCAGTTTTGGTTGATTTCTTTGTGGTTTTATTTTTTATTTTCTTTCAAGGTTTTTATTTCTGAAATAAAGACTCAGATTTTTTGTGGATTTACATTTCAAAACAAAGTATTTGTATATGAGTTTTGCAATTATATTTATGTATGCATAAAAAGTCAATGAACGATGACGGAGCGTACTTAGAGAGAAATATGGAAATATTACTCCAGATAATCTGCAAAGACTGCGAGAACTTATTCAGTTATCTGACAAAGATATAACAATTTGGAGAATGATTTCAATATCTTCTGGTGTCATTTTCTTGATCAAGTCCCGTGAAATCTTCCAATGTGTGAATCAAAGAACGCAATCTTTCTTAACGATAAGGAATAAATTTTAAATTTTATCGAAAGTTGGCTGAAGTTAAATCACGGTAGGTTCATTGGCCTACATAAAGGCGCTAAATTATTGTATTTTCTATTATAGTACTGAACGAACTTGTTACTTGTCTAGAACAGATGGAGGAAATGAGGGAGGATGAATGTTAATATGCACGCTTGTTTACGAGCAACATCTAAGCACTGATGTATTAAATCAATACCGTCCAGCAGTGACACCTGCGACTCCTCGATCCCCGCTTCTTTCGCAACTGTCGTCTACTAATAGGAAGTTTCTCTGTGGAACATGGAATTGCATAAAGGCATCTTACTGCATACCATGACCAATATTTGACGTAAAGCATTCACAGATGAGAGGGCGAGGGGGAAATAGCATGTGACAGCGTTGGAGAAGGAGAAGAGCGGTACGAACTCACGGGGTATTGATTGCTATGTGATGTGATTGGTTCTGTGAAATGTCTTCTAAGTAGAACTTGACTGGTTGAGTGGGTTTGATGTTTGTACTGTACGTGTGTTTCTACTACCCCAACAATTCCACCGAGATGCATTCACTGTGCCTACTTCCGACCTCATCTTACCAAAGCTCTGACTAATACACACATAATGAGGTTGAAAGATTCGAATAAATTATTTCTTTCTTTCCGACGTTATTCGTGAATATTGATTAAGGGTAATTGGAAATTTATCATCTTCAGCGATAGATTTTGTATATGTTCTGTGTAAGCCTGGATTTCGCTGTAAAAGTTTATAATACAAAAAGGCTAAAGAATCCTTAATTTCTGTAGTATTGAATTTCATTGATGTTTGGAAATCAGTTAGACTTTCAAGTCATCCTACTTTATTTTGTTATAGCCATGATAATCCGATAATTTTTCCTAAATGTTTTCATGCTACTGTTGTAGCTCCTTGCATACCGTTGCCGTTCGTGATATTGATAGTATCATTTTGACAAATAAAATCCAAGAGTAGAGATTAAATTCAAGTTATTTTTAGGGGAGGTATGCAAGTGAATACTGAAGACGTTACAGTGCCATGGGGTAGGGCACCGGATTCTTTGGACATACAGATGGGCCGCTGGCGCATGGCAGTGTTTCAGGATGTTCAAGAAAGTATCGACCGCTCCAAGCTGTACTTTCTGTATGATCCGGTTGCAGATGAAAATTCGGGAACGACGTAAGCGAGATGATTTGCCAGTTTTATTAGGCATTACTGATGAAATTGCAATTTTGTATCACGTGTCAAATATTGGTAGCTGAGATTCGTGCTCAATTGCGTGTTTTTTTTTAGTGGTGGACGCAAGGGCAACCAAGGTTTGGTTGTTTTCGATTTGTACCAGCGATGCTTTACTCGAGAGATACCTATCTTTTGTGAAGGTATAAGTTGCAAGTTTAATTTTGTAAAAGCTTTTAAAACTGCAACAATTTGTTTTTTTTTTTTTAAATTTATATTGAGGCCTCGGGATACGTATATCATTTTCTGTACAATATACTTGTGATTTCTTTAGGAGCACCGAAATTCTTATTTGCACTGAAGTGTCCTTCATCTTCTGGAGGTTCTTCATTTGTCGTTGCTTGTACAGCTAACAGATATGGTCAGACTGGGGTTAGTTGTTGTCTTTGTGTACTTTTTAAATAAAATTTTTGATTGCATGTAAATATGGAAGTTTTAGGATCATATGGAATAAAGGATGCAAAAAACTAGAGTGATATAAAAAATGCCAGAAGTCTTATTGAGAAAGAAGCATGAAAATTAGAACATTTGGGAGAATTATGACCAGTTGTGAGGAAGACTCAACTTATTAGCTCCCAGTGAGTTATAAATAACTTATTTTTCAAGTTTCTTTTTCTCTTCAATTTCAGTTAGACATTCATTTTCTTTTTCAGTTATTACTCTACAGAATTAATTTGACATGTGATGGGATGAATTTGGAAAGCGAGCCACAAGCACTGTTGTCAAATTTCATAGTAGTCAATGATACATTTATCGCTTCGATGCGTGAAGATGCACCTGAAGTTGTGGTGATTACTGGTCCTGGTCTTACTGTTTGGCGAGTCAACTGTCTTAGCGAGCAGTCTTCCAACCCAATCGAATCCTTCTCACTCTCAGGCGACCTCAATCATTATTACGATGCTTATCTAAGTCAAGGGTTTGATTTGCTTGCACGTTTTCGAGATAAACCACTGATGGATTTGATTTAAATTGTTGAATTTGTTAAAACTCTTAAATTTTTGATGTCCAACATATGTCTCTGGATTACATTTGCCCTAAATTTCATAGTGTAGTGGTTAATTTTGTTGTTTTTTCTTTTTTTTTTAGGAAAATATACTTTCTTTCCCAGTCACCTGATGGACATTTCGATCATTCGCGTATCCACGTTCTTGAAATCACAGGACAGCACCAGTTACATACTGTGATGTGCAATCCTGATCCTGTTCGCAGTGCACCATGTTCTCGTAAGCAGGCTGCTATTGATTCTGTGGCGGGTATGTTGAATAGTTAATGTTTTTGTCCCTTTCATTTTATTCCTGTCGTCATAGTATATGACTTTACAAGTTGTTTTGGTTTATTAAAATTTTCTAGAGCACATAGTTTGCAGGATACATTTTACTTGCCGGTGGCGAGATCACTTACGACGGCTCGGTATCTCGTCTTCTTGATTATTGGTTTCTTGATCTTTCAACTTTTACATGGCAACAAATTCCTGCTGAAATGCCAATCCCTCTGATTGAACCACGCCTTACAACTACGAATTCAGGTTATTTTCATAATTTTTATGAGAACTAATTCACTAATTATAGTAACAATGAGATATTTGAAGCTGAGTCATACTCATGCACTGTAATAATTTAATGGTAAATAAGTTTTCAGGAAATATTTATTTGTGGGGTGATTTCGATCAGCCAATGCCAGGTATGCCAACAGGAACACACCTACGTATTCTGAAAATAACTGGATTTGAAAGCATTAAACCACCTTCCTATGAGGAAGCATCTAAAAAACCTACTTCACCTCCGTTTGTTCCACAAGGACCATATCCAGCTGGCAATGCAGATGGGTCATTCCCATCTTATCCAAATCTTGGTTTTGCACCAAGTAGTACGCAGAATATGGCTCCTTATCCACAAAATGATTCCCCCTATCCACAAAATAATCCTCCTTATCCACAGAGTCAACCCTTTTATCCACCGGGCCAAGCAACACATCCACAAGGGCAACCGCTGCAGGATTATCCGGAGTCAGTACCTTACCCTCAGAGTGATAGCCGTCAGAACCCTTATCAAGGCAGTACGCAGCAGCAGTCGTACGGTGGTGTTCCAGGGCAATATACTGGCCAACATGCTTTTTATCCACCACAAGAAAAGCAGAATTGCTGTCTTCAGTGAGCAGACTCTTCGTTATTGGCCATCCAAGCTTATGAATTTAAATTGTGGACAATATGGTTTGGTATCCGGTTTTGTTTTTACTAATCTTAATAGATTTTTTAATGTAATAGTTCCGAAATGTTCAATATTTTTTTAACAAGGCATCCCTATTTTTATATTTTAGCATAATTTTATATGTTTCATTGTTTTCTTCTCTCTTTGAATCTGCTACACTATGTGATAATCGTATACATTCTTTATTAAACTTTGGAAATTATGGTTTTCTATTTAGCTGCTATACTTTTTCTGCATTATTTTTGTTCTCTATGTTTTTTGCAGTTTTTACTGTAGCGCAACAATTAAGCTTATGCACTTTGTGCTTATATATTCCCAAGGCATTGTCGATTGTCACTTAACTGTAGGGTCAGTAATGCACTAATATTTTTCAAGAATAATTTTGTTTCCATTCGAAGAGAAAATACTAACTCCTTTTTTAAAGAAGCGAGATCACAACTAAAAATATCAAGTCTTTAGAACATATTCGCTTTGTCTGTTGTACAACATCCTAGAAGCAACTATCATTGGTCCCGAATTGAGTTTATTCGTGACTTTGTGATTGTCATGCAGTTCAGATGTTGTTAAGATAAAACGCCACTGGTTTCGTTCTTTCTATTTTGAAGTGTTTTAGCCTTCTAGGGAGAAAATGTGATGTTAATTTCTTACGTTCCTTATTGGTTAGCAATATTTCATGATAGTAAAGAATTTGGTGCGGTAAGAACGAATATTAAGATAGCATTTTTGAGAGTGTATATAGAAAACGTTGCAAAAAAAAGGTATTACATGGGATAGATTTTAATTGTCGTTAATTTCAAAGATTGTTTTGAAGACAAAGATGTTTGAAAGTCTGAAAATATAGTTAATAAAGTGTAATTACTATCGGTATCAGTACGGTGTTTTTGAAATATCTCCAAAGCTAAAGGAATTTATGAGATTTGCTTTCAAAACAGTGGAAAGGTAATTTTTTCACTAAATTTGAAAAAATGCTTCCGTCATATGTTACAATTGTGGATGATGAACAGGTAGGTTGGAAATTCGATATTACCATTTCTGTGTAAAACGGATAGCAGAGTATTGCTTGGGAAAATATGCATTGTTATTTGAATGGTGTTGGGAAGGCCCCTATAGAGATTTGCTATGATTTAGGGAAAATCGGACAATTAAGCTAAATTTTTCAATCCAGTTTTTTCGTGAAACGAATGGACTGGAAATCCTTAAGATAAACGATTCTAGGGAATTTAATCTAAGATAAAGGAATATTTAGAAAGTTTGTTTCAGTATGAAGTATTTAACATCGTTTACGGAACTATAAATGACGGTTTGCAGGGACTAGTTCTTTTCATCACATATACACGTACACGTGCACACACACGCATACACAAGTATATATATATATATATATATATGTATGCATATATATAAAATAAGAAAAAAAATTTTTTGAGGAAATCACACGATGAAAGTGAGAGGGGACTGTTTAACATGCATACGAAAGGAAATTGTATAATATAAACCATGAAATTGAAATCGACAGCAGCAAATAGGTTTAAGTTCGAAAAAAGTAGACGAGAAATTTGATTTGCTGTTTTTGATAAGCTGTGTCTAACTATCATACAAACACTCTCGCAAGTTCTGTCATTTGAAATAATAGAGATGATGGGATTTCTCATTCACAATCTAAATTTCAGAATTATTAATAAAAAGTTGGTTATATTTAATAATTCTCTTTCGGATTAAACAATTTAGTTTTCAATCAGTGGTGGAGCTAAATATGTGTATGAATGAAAAATTTTTTTTTAAAGCACTGTTGACAGTCGCTTCACAATGTAGAATCATATGTTATACCAACAAAGTGCGTCATTTCAAATCGTCCCGCTGATCGCAATGCTATGTACAAGTTGAACGTCATTATATGAATACATTATGTAAAATAATTTAAAAACTGAACTGAAGTCTGGAATTTTAGGGCAGTTATATAATATTTTCGTTGGTGGAATCTGCAATAATTATATAAATATAAGCTTGAAGAGTATGATATTATCGGTAGAATAATAAATGCTATGCCTGTGGCATCAAATAATTTCAATTACCTAAGCAGATAGCTTTTATGAAAAAATAATGGATATGAGCAGAAGTAAAATGGAATGAATGAGGCATATGAATGGAGAAGAGGAAGAATTTAGCGAATGACTTTCCGGTGCAGTACCATCTGCAGTTGCTGCAGCAGCAGTATGCTCATTAACTGCTTCAGGAATCAGGCTATCTTCTCCGGCTGTTCCACTTACTGTTCCTTCATGATCTACCATTGAGGCCAGTCCCGGCTCAGCCATCTCGTCAAGTTGTGGAATGCTGCAGTCAAAGTCGCAGGAATGTAACTTATCTGCATGCAATCCCTGGAAAGTAAAAACGAACATTTTAATTGTAATGTCAGATGAAATTATTAAAATTTGTGAAAAAATAATTTTCCCTTCTATGATATATAAATTTTGCTATCAAAGATATTAAATAAAATAATATTTAACCTTGAACATGTTTCTTAAGCTTTTACACATGATTACTTGTGCACTTTCTGATTGACAAATTCCTTTCATTGCACTGATATATTCTTGCAATTTATTATTTACTTCTTGGCAAACCTGAAAAATAATTATAAACTGATAAGCAAAACCTTTTTTCGAATTAATATTCAAATTAGATGAAAATATGAAGTCTGTAATTATTGACGTTTCTTCTGTATGTATTGTTTTCTTTTTATATTAGATTTATTACAGTCTCAAATATCTACTGTTGCAGCAAATGCTAACCTGATCATCGGGATGCTCCAGAAACTTTTCGGACAAATAGGTTCCAGCGCTCAGTGTCATTTCACCGATTCGTTCCTCTGTTAAACATTCACGATGTTCCCTTAGTATATCCTGCCCTTCCTGTTAACCATTTGGAAATACGCAATGGAAAAAAAATTCGTTGAAAAATTGAAGTTAATGTTCAGGAAAACAAATAAAATGACTTTTCTTTTTTATAAAAAAGAATTCAATTAAAAAATTTAACTAGATGAAAGCCTATGCTATTCTATCTTTCTCACAGAAATAAGCCAAATCGCTTCAAAAATCACGTAACTAACCTGTGAACAAGCATATGTCAAGAGATAATAACTCTTCAAAAAGCTGCCTGAATTTTTTCGATGTATTAACAGATCGCTTACTGTATTTGATGCAGCAACAATTTCATTATGTTGGCATTCATGCTTAATTGGTCCAGCATCCTGAAAATTTCGTTTCTAATAAATGTAAGCTAAAATGAATATATATATACCCATTTCTAGTCTAATTACAAAATATGCAATAAGCAAATTCATATAACAGCAAAGAGACAGTAAAAGCTATTGAAAAATTTGCTACTGAAACTACAGAGTATTTAAGTTATCTTCCAACTTACGTATACAACGAATATGATGTGATTTGTCATACCATTTGCTATAGCAAATAATAATAATACAAGGATTCAGATTGAGTAAATTTTTTTGTGAGGTTCTACTTGGGATCAAGATAGTTTTTATGACATTGTTAAAATATTGAAAATTCAGGATCATGAATGTAAATTATACTAATCCAAGATCCTTCCTAATCTTAATTCGCATCCCAATCTGGGATGCGAATTAAGATTAACAGGAACAAATTACAAATTAATGCAAATCTGAAATGTTTTCGCGATATTATCGAAGAGAGGAAGTAACGTCTATTATTGAAGTAGAACGAATATTCCTTATTAGAAGAATTAAACACTGGTTAATTCAACAGCTATGACAAATTTACTTTTCATATGTGTTTATTCTCTCATTAACAATTTAGAATTCGGGATAGTGGATCGTAAATATGCAATTTGAAGGCAATTGCAGCTTGAATATACGGAGTGCATTAATTGCCTTACCTCCGGCATCATATCACATTGCTAATTAGATTTGAGTCAGTTTTGTTATCACTTCAATTAGCTAGTATTATTACCTAATTGATTTCTTTTGCATCTTTATTCATTTTGCACATGCACTAAGATTCAATTTTGAAACTATAAGGAAATTTATTAAAGCATAATTTCTCATGGTCAAGAAAAGAACTCAGATAATACATGCTATTGCTATATCGCATAAAAAAATATGAAATAAAGACAGTCTAAATATTCTAGGATAATGAATATTCCAGCTGTCAAATGCTTTTCCGATGGATTCGACTGAGGACGTGTAGAATTCAAAGCAAGAAAAGCTTACTTTGATACATAAGTCGAGTTGCCTCAAATGCTCACACTGATTTTCATTGATCGTAACGACATTATCTTTCAATTCATATAATGTCCATGCCCATTCATCCAAGATATTTATGAAACACTTCACCAATGTTATATAATCGCATATCTTCAAATGGTATTATGAGTAAATTCACATCTCATAAAAATTTCAATTTCAATCCTTACAAATCATTGAATTTTCTTCTCATTGGTCGCATCATTTTTTCACTATTTCACAAAACTATCAATTAATTATATATTTAAAAACTGAGGCGTAAAATAACTGACCTGAAGTGTAACTGTTATACTGCTCAATAATAGCAGTAGAGCAAATTCAAATTTCATCGAAAAATATTCAAATTAACTGGCAATTAAATAATACTGGCCGAGTTGATAGGATCTTTAACGCGAATCTTCACAGAATTTTTCAGAAATTCATTTAAGTCTTAGCTTTAAAAGAAATTCTTGTTGTTAGCCAGAATAAGCGAGAAATGGTAGCAAGCTCTATCTGCAACTATCTTTGAATTTAAGCTTCTAATTCATAATAACTGTTTCAAAATCAAAATTTACTCGATGAGTGTTAAAAAAAAATATTAATAATAGAATATGCAAAGATTTGCCCAATCAACTTGTTGTTTTCAGAATTTGTAAACAAATTCTAAATGAAAAATTTAAATAAAAAATACATTAAAGCTAATAAACCAAAAAATTAGATAACAATAAAGAGTGAGTATGAAGAAGAAAATAACAGAGAGTTCTTAAAGAGAACACATCGGTCGATATTTCAGTGCAGTAAGAAGGAGATAAATACTTGTGGTCAATATTCTTCAGTGAAGGCAATTGCTCATTCCTAATAAATAACAAAATTGGAAATGGAATATGCCTAATAATCTCATGCAAATTATTATCCATCACATAATGATACGCAATCAATTTAATGAAATTCAATCAGGAATTGCAAGAAATAATGCATTAAAATTGACTTTATTTTATTGAAAAATTATTTAAAGACAGCATTAAAATAATTTTTCAGTAAAAAAAAAATAATTTTTCAGTAAAAAAAATAAATCATTTGTTGTTTTTCAACAACAACAAATGATTTATTCAATAGTACATTTTGAATTGATCAAATTTATGTAATTCATTTGAACTGATGCAGTTTTTTCAAAATTTTTATCATATTAATAAGTTATTTGACAATCTTGCATTATAATACAGAAATAATTAATGTAAAAGTCTTTTACATTTTTCAGAATTTGATTTGCAGTCAATGAAACAAAAAATAATTAACAAGAAAGCTATAAATTTTAATGTGGTTAAAATTTGGAGAATGTATTTACGCAAAAACAGATGGCAAATATTCTGATCAGAATAACATGAAGAACATGCATAAAATACATCCGACAACAAAGAAAATTTCCATTGATAAGAAGATGAAAAGGCATTGACATGTCCAATTGCAAAAGATATACTTGTGGTTATCGTTAGCCATTACCTGCTATCGATTGCTGTTGTTTAACGAGGAATAATAAAGTTAAGGAATTTCTACTAGCCAGCAGTAAAGCAAAGACTGGTTGTTTGTCGATATATTTGTTAGACATGTTCGTTGTAGCCGTCATTTGAGAAGACTTCATTCTTAGTTTTGAAATGTAGAAAAGTTTTAAATTTTCAAGAAATATGAATGGAAGACTTGTTTACTGATTTGAACTTTTCGGAAGACAGTACTAGCCGTGAAGTATCACAAAAAATTACAACCAGACTATAATAAAAAATTTGAAAAAAATATAAAACATGTTTACTTAACTCAAACGCTTAATGCTTCCATCAAGCAGTTAGAAGTAAAATCATTTTGATGTAATCCATAACTTGAAAATTTGTAAATTTTAAACACCTTCTTTAATGATATACAACAATTCATCGAAATCAATGGAAAAAAAAAACTTACAAAAAATAGAATTTCGATAGACTAAATTTGAAATGATGTAGCATATCAAAGGAAATAGAAATGGCAATATGAATGACTTCAACAATGTCTCTAATTGTTGGGAACTTTGCGATAACGCCAACAAAAATTGAAATGGGATCGAACGTTGACATTCAAATGATGCAAAGAAGGGAACTTACTGCGTGTGAAAGGCTATTTATTGCTGTCATAAACAACTTTTTTTTCTCTTTTTCGCAGTTGAAAAAAATGTAAAAGTTCCATAGAAGGCATCGGAACGAAGGCCCTTCAGGATGCCAATTGCAGAGATAGCATAGAGAACACCTTCTTGTACAGTGGAGCTTTTTTCCATATATTTTAGATATGGTGAGACTGACCGATGGAAGACTCATCCATGAAAACGTTTTGCATCAGCCGTTCTTTTTTTTCTAGCCGCAGGCCTTAGTCACAAATGTATTTCACTTTCACAACTAACAAAACCATTTTAACTCCTTCTTTCAAGCTCAATCCAGCTGTAGACTTTATTTATGCCAACATTCCTCATAATTTTACTTGTGGAACTAGCATGATCAAAACTGGTATGCTACTACTGACAATCGCCGGTTCCTTTTTAATTTCATAACTTGAAAAATTTCATCTACATTTGCACTTTATTCTTTTCCTGGGTCAGTGGAGTTAGAAGAGAAAAAGGAAAGGAATAGAATATCATTCGATCGTTGCAGATGCTCCGAATAAAGTTTGCTACAGGTACCGAATAGGAACAAGCTATCTATGCCTAAAAATATGATCGTATGGAACTCTAAAAGAGGAGACTGAAAGATTACTATTGTTATCATTGTTAGAGGTTAAAGGATCAATAAAAGAGAATCAAGAATCACACACAAATTCTAAACATCTAAGCAAAAACTGAAGAATCATCTGGCTGATAGGAAGCACAGACTATTTAATTATTAAAAATAGGAAGAAATCACTGGCCATCTTATTAATTCGTGGAACAACATCATGTGAATATAATCTTATTATAGAAATGAATTGCAAAACACACTAATCAGGTTTGAAAACATGATTGACAAATGAGAATGACAGTGGAAAGTGTAGATAATTTAAAATATTTTAAGAATCTAAAAACGAAGCGACATAGCCATTGTGGATATCACTGTAGTCAGAAGAATATTGTAAGATAAGCAAAGTGAAAATGACGGAATATAGAAAGATTACAGAATATGATAAACCTGTAATACTTGATGTAGTCCCAGTGAATATGAGAAAGTTGAAAATTGCGCCCGAAACATCTGACAGTTTTATGATATATTTAAGCGGAATGATAATCAGAACAATGCTGCACTGCTGGTAATAGATTGCAGGTTCCTGTAAATAAATAAGTGGAGTAGGATTTCGAAGAAATCAAAATCGACTTAAACAGTTTAGCAATTTGTGAAGTTCATTTGCATGAGAAATGAATGATAAATAGGCCTGACTCGTAAGTAAAATCCGGCAATATATGTATGCAGAAAAATAAAGAATGAACGCTTAACTGAGACATGACGTTTGAAAAGTCACAAATGTTTGATAAGGTCTAATGAGACAACATAACAGGTAGATGAAATGACCTGATAAATAGTATTAAAAGCTAATACAAGGCTATGTATCATCAACTTAATCAAATGCACTTCAATTTTGAGTTTTCAGGAAAAGTAAAATTAATATCACATGACTTTGCAGTAAGGTTTCAGAAAATGTACTGCACGTTATTAATCAAAAATTTTTGTATCCTTCATTTCTTATCTTCTAAAAATGTATTCAAGTCGCACAAATTATGATGACATGATCTGCTATTGTTAGTGGCAGACAATGCGCAATTATATATTAAAAAAAAGAAAAAAATGAAACTTTTGTAATCCATCCATTACTTTATGCTATTCTGATTAATTTAGCCTCTCGATAGCCACAAAATGTTTGAAATTGTAGGCGATGGCTCGGCGTGCAAAAAAATCCCGACGCGGAAAAGCAAAGCGTCCGGAAACCGAGACCGCCACCGCTATTGCTAAAATGAAACAGAAAAAGTTCCAAATGCGCAGAATGCTTCGTGGAATGCTACGATGCAATTTGCGAGTACTAAGAAATTGTGGACGGCTTGCAGCTTATTCTGTCAGTTATGGTATATTGATTTTTGTGTTACTTTCTGTGTGCTATGCTCTCTTTGTTTTTGTATACATTTTCTATAGGAATATTTCGCATTCTTCAGATTAAACCAAAACCCAAATAAAAAAAAAAAAAACCTGAAAACTAGTAATTTAAAAGAAATTAAGGTTGGAGGCTTATTGAAAAGTATGAACATTTGTTCTTTATTAAAAATTACGATAGAATCATTCATATATAATGGATATTTTCTATTTTACAGTATTTTCATCCACTTTTAACTAAAAATGTAATAAATTTAAGGTTAAAACTATGAGCATAACTTGAACAATAGAAGAAAAATTAACTTCGAATAAGGTAGCCTTTAAGTAAAATATTGAGATAACAGAATATTGAAAAATTAAAGAGAAGCATAATTAATGAATTAATTCCTATAGAGCGGAATGTTTAGGGAATAAGTGTGAACGCAACAATGTGTTATGTATATTGAATATATTAAGTGACCATTGATGTGGTCATTAATGAAAATAAACAAGTAACATTTTTAACTTAAGGATTGAAAATATTTCCACTTTCGTCCTCTTTCTGGATGTAATACGAATGTAGGAACGAAAAGTTTCAGTCTAATCCAGCACATATCCTCGGCAGAGACCATCTCCACAACAGCTAATAAACATATTTCCTGTTGAAGCAATTCCTAACCGTTGAATTCAGTCGGTAAATTAAAAATAAAAATGACCTCGTTTTCTTCGTTGATTTCGATCTATTCATAGTAACCTCTGATCTCTCGATGATGGTGTGGTACGAAAAAATGAAGTAATCATGGAAATATTTTTTTGTTAGCAGGTAAATATCAAATTAATACGATAAACTATTCCTTTTTTCAACATTTAACTTTTATTACTTTTATGGATAGCAAACAGATCAGTGATTTGCATGATAAACGTACGTGTATTCATACATTATCGATCAATAATTTTGAAATATTCCACATCAGTCCATTTAAAGGCAATATAATTTTCTGGAAATTCTCAATGCATGCTTTTCTGACATCTATGCTGTCGTCATTTAGATCATATAAATATTTTATTCTATAGATATTATGCCATTTTGAGCCGTTATTAGAAAAATATTCATTAATGAAAAGCACAGAAAAATACGCAGAAAATCATAAGTAGGTAAATATGTTAACGAAACATTAAATACTTTGAGACATTTCGCCCAATCGATTGTTATCTATTAAAATTTAAAACATTTGTTCACC